TGGCGTGCGAAAAGTAGCTACTTTTCGCACGCCAGCTTTTACCGCGAAAATGTAGCCTCTGCTCGCAGGGTATTCGTTCGGCAGCGTGTTTTGTACTTCCAGCTCCGGCAGAGTTTTTTATCAGATTTATCAGACGAAGTGAAGAAAATTACTAGCTTTTTCAAGCCAAACGAAGGTGAGTAGTTGTTTTGAGTTGATAAAAGTTTTATATTTTGTCTTTCTCCTTTCGAATCAATGAAATATTCGATGGCAAGAAGAATTACATTACTTGAACAGTGAACGGCCATAGTTAGAAATTTTTCAGATCACTTCAGTGAAGTATTTTCTATACTAAAATTGCAATCGCGTCTTTTCTTGCATTGAATCTGAACTGACCGTGTATGTTGGTTGTTTATTTTTAGAGTTATCTGGGACTTGGTCAAAGTCTGTAAGCTCTGCAGAAAAGACGACAACTACTTGCAGTGAAAATGGTGAGTTTGAGTTTGACCAGTAAACATTTCAATAGCTTGGACGTGATTCAGATCGCAAACACATTTGCTGGACGGAACGAAAATCGTATGAAGAATTTCGGTATCTTCACTAATGCCGACCTATAAAGAGCAACAAATACTGGATAAAGTATGCAAAGTCACGCGACAGAAACAAATCAAATACTATGATTTTATTCCTTTTTTCGATTTTCAATATGAAAAAATTATTTTCAACTGTCAGCCCTCCTACTTTTCACCTTGCTCCGCGGTCCCTGTTGTACATTATGCTTTTGCTTCCCTACTAAAATGCTCCCCCTTAATGCTCCATTTTTCCCACTAAAATGCTCGGTCTCCCCAAAAAAAGTCACTAAAATGCTCGGATAATGCTCATTATACAAACGGTTTTTTTAATTAATTTCAAAGTTTACACTTACCAAAACGTGCAAGTGTTGCAAGTAACAACGACAACGTGTACAAGTTCATAAATACAGCCAAAAAAACTAGCTTTATTAGGTTTTTTGTGAATTTTGAATTTTAGTCTTCATTTTGTTTAAAAAAGCAGGAGCTCATGGGGCATGGGCTCCTGACTAAAGTTAATTTCTATCTTATTTTCTCGGAAAAATTAATTTTCCGGGGAAAATGCCACTAAAATGCTCGAATAATGCTCAATGCTTTTGCCTCACTAAAATGCTCGAAAAAATGCTAGCATAATGTACAAAAGCCTAATGACTATACCAAAAACATACCTGGTCATACAGCTGCCATAGAATTAACTGATACCCTTATCATATGCTTATAGTTCTTAGGTAAAGGCCCTAGGACAAGAGGTTGACCTTTAGTGAAAACACTGCATACGATCCCTTTTACCGGCTTCCAGATCAGTGAAGTTAGATATCCCAGGACGTGAACTGATGACAGTAATGTTGAATGATTAATAACGATTACAAAAAATGAATAATGAAATGTTGAATGATGAATAACGATTACAAAACTATCATTTGTGGTTGCCACGTTTGGTTTGCTCCTAGTACATGCTGTTTTAACAAAGGAAAAACAGTCTTCCTTACCCCTCCCCCGTTTTTATGGATTATCCCCAGTACAGTGCTGTTAGCATAGGTAATCACATTATTTTTCTGGTGCAATTTGGAATAAATCAGCTCTCGAAAATTTTTCAAAGACCCAACCAAATTGCACGAGCCCGGGCACGGGCAACGTTTTAGGGCAGCTGTAGGACCCCTGTAGGACAATTTTAACGTTACGTCTCGTTTGGACAAGAACAAACAATTTCAGCTGAAAGTTTCGTTCGCAAGTGGACTGGTATCACTCCCCTCCCCCACCCTCCCACACACACACACACCCACGCTGAATCTTCGCTGGATCCGCCCTTGCTTTGGTTTTCCCTTCTCTTTAATAACCAACATGTCCAAATTCCAATTCGATGTAGTATTTGTTTCTAATTAGTTTGGGGACATCTATGAGGGCCACAGGTTTACGAGTTCTTTGAACTGTCAAGTGTCACCCTCTTTCACCCTTAAAATACCAACAATAACAATACACAATCAAGAGAATATGTTGAGAGAATAAGTATAGTAAAATAATCATCGGAGGAAAATGCCTTGATCTTTCATCAAATTCTCTCAACTTATTCTACATAGAAATGTATAGACACAGGTTTGGAGAATTTGTATGTGGATATTGGGGCTTAAAGGGTTAAATACAGTTTGTTTTTGGTTTATTTTCCATACTCATCATTTTCGATTTATTTTGTTATTTAAGGTAGCTAAATTAAAATATGGCGGGAGAGAAAAAACAAAATCAAATTAAAAAAGAGGAAGAACAAAAGAAGGGGGCTGACAGGGACACTACAACAGCTGATGCTAATTACAGCGGGGGGGGTTTAATCACCGTGTGGGAGGTATGCATGATAGAGGGACCTTGGATTTCCATTCGCGCCAAATACAAAAGGGGTGATGGTCAGTTTATAGTTGCTGAAATCAGCTTTCTGAGTGATTCTGACTGCCGGTAACTTAGTTGCTTTCAAACAACTCAGGGTAGGAGATGCTGTAATTAGGTAAGAAAAAGGTTTTTCACCTCAACATTTGTTACAAACAATTGGGGATCAAAGAAGCAGTATGGAGAGGATGGGTTGTGTGGTCCTCTGTTATTATAGAACGAAGGACCCGAGATACTTCATTTTGGGCAGAAAGCAAAACAAAAGAGAGGTCGGTATATCAAATCAATAGGCCTGAAAGGCATTCTGGTAAAAATCCGGTGCATTTTACGAAACACGGTGGGTGTGATTGTATGTGGAAGTCCTTCTCTGAGGGAAAAGATCGCGGAGTCACCATCTCTAGCTCTCTTTCTCGCGACACGCTAATCCATTCCATCGTCGCCAAGGCCAACAAGCTCCTTGGACTTCAGAAGAGGAGCTGCCCTCTCATAACGGACATCAATTTGAGGCGGACACTGTACCTGTTGCTGGTAAAGTCCCAGTTGAGCTAGGCGACTCAAGTGTGGTCACCAGAACCAGTAGTCCCGTTGAGGGCGAAGATCGAGCGTGCACAAAGGCGAGCCAAACAAAATATCGAAATGTCGTATAAAGATAAACTTGGATGTTACAAATTTTCAAGCAAACAAAAGCACTACCCAGATCTAGGTAGTGACACACATTATCAGTATGGACTCTCTGGGTTCGTTCCTTGGATGTCATGTCAAGTGGGGGGGGGGGGGGGGGGGGGGGGGGG